GGTCTACCGAGAGTTGGGAAAAGGGGCGTGTTCAAATGGCGTTTGGGCAGCCATGACTGCCTAGACGCACGTGTGTGTGTGTGTCCGAGTGGAAGTCGGTCAAGTTTTTGCTGGTCAGCGCACCTGAAAGCGCTGACTGAGGTAGTGCATGACCTTGAGGCAGTTGGCCTTGAACAAGGACGCCGGACAGAGCAATGTTGGACGTCGGCTGATAGCTATAAGCCCTTTTTCTGGACCCGTCCTCCACTACATCCGCCGCTACATAATTAATTATAAGACGTATGTCCCTGATAAAACACCTGATTGCCAAGTCAATCATATGCCTGATTTTCCTCCATAGCCCTATGAAAAGGACTCCAAATTTATATCTAACACCATAAGCTATGCTGAATTTGCTGAAATAAACAAGCTTTACAGCAATGGAGCAGTACTTACGGTAACATGCTGAATTACCGCTTATAAATCCACGGGACGGTTGTAAGGGTAGCGAAAATACGACTCTGTTCTGATGCCTTACTGATCTCGAAGGGATGTAACAGTCGTGTCGGCATCCAATAACGGAACAAACAAAGAGGAGCTACGGTTGCCAGGGTGGCGAGTTTATCTTCAAGTCTCTATTCTGTGTTTGATGGTCTGCCAATACGCCACCCCTTGGCTGGCAGCCAGCCAACACAGTACTGATTCACTTGCTAACTACCCGGTCTGTACACATTGGTCAGTATTTGATAAGCATCTACGCCCAAGCTAGAAGACCAGTGATAATCCCGGTGATAAAGATATGATTCAAAGGTATACTAATTTAGGAGGAGGAGGCCACTACGTGAAGTTGCAAACTCATAATCTTTGACTATCGTACGCGGTCATCTCTCATAATTCAGAGGATGAAAAATCGTAAGGTACAGGATCCCATGTGCTCTCGAGTTTATCTGTGCCCATCAAAAGGAGCGCAGTCTTTTCTATTGAGACTCAGAGTGATTCATCAACCCCCATTCCGAAAGCTTGCATAGGTACACAGCAGTTGAACGATTTCCGTCTCGCCTCGGGATTTTCCCTCTAGTTCTGCTAAATTGACATTGGATCTGATTTTGATGATAAAAAATCGGTAAAAGTTAAGTTGGTCGTCCATCTTAGATAACCCTAGCCCATAGTCGTGTGGTTAAGGTTATTTTCATTAGTTTTAGTTTAGTGTTACTTTAATTTCAGTTTAGTTAGAAACCACCAACGTTAGATAGTAAACTAACTAAACTAAGTAAAACTAGGTAACAGTTAAGTTTATCCCCACTTCAGACACCTCTAGTCCCTAGGCCCGTGGTTACTCTTAGTTAAAGTTGGATAAATGTGTGTAAATAACCACTATGAACCAAACGAAACTAAATAAAATAAAAATAACCTAAACTTAAACGAAATTTCCTGCTTCAGTGCATAAAACGAGAAGAATCCAAGGGAAAAGAAAAAGGCATTTCGAATGGTACGGCAAAGGGGGCATCGAAAACACTAACCTGGCGAACTCTCCCATATGTAAAAAAATTTATATGAGCTTGTCAAAAGACAACTAAGAAAACACCAGATACAAGTGGCACACCAACCCGCAACCACCTTACGATCACAGCTTGTACACCCTAAGGAAAGGGTTGGCTATCTTGAAAGAAAGTGGGTTGTCTACAAGATCCCGTATTCCAGTTGTGATGCAATTTATTGTGGCCAAACTGGGAAATGCGCCTCAACACGCATACATCAACATCAATCAGTGGTCAGAAGACGAGACCATTTATCCCAGGTGGCCATGCACACACTGAAAACCGGCCATAAATTCGCATGGAAGAACACACGGATTGTTGGCAGTTGCCGAACTAGAAAAGGCCGTGAATTCCTGGAAGCAATGCACTCAGACGAGGCATGCATCAACAGGCATATTGAGTTGGACGCCAGTTATAGTTGCCTCAAAGTCAAATCCAATGCGCGCCACCAACCACAGCAGAACGACGAAAGGCACGTAACGCCTATTAGCGCAGACCGACAATACTGCCAATCGGTGTACACGTCAGATGAATATTGATTTTTCTGAACGTTTAAAAACTGTATTTGCTTTTTGCACATTTTCTCACGTCTGAAGACGAGCGGGGGATCCTGCCTCAAAATTTTACACAATAAAGCTTCAATTTTCCCAAATAAGTCTTAATACTCATAATTTAGTATCTTAGGATGCCCGTATTCCAATTCCAATAAACTAAATAATATATTAAACTAATACCACCGGTCCCGTATGATGGACATATGGGGCTAGGGGTCTCCAAGATGGGCGACCAACTTAACTGTTACCTAAAACTAACTAAAACAAAACTAATAAATTGAAATAAACTAATATCACGACAGAATTCTGGGGCTAGAGTTTTCTAAAGTGGGCTACCAACTTAACTTCCGCCAAAAACTCATCCGTTATCGTGACCACCACGCGTACTTTCCTCCCAATACAAATACAAGTGTAACCAAAAGCCACAGGAGGTATTACTTTCACAAGAACAATCGCCGATCCGAATATAAACTTGTATTAAACATTTTAAAGGTTGCAAAACAGAAGGCATTGCAAAGGCTTCGTGGGCGGGTTGTTGGATTGTGTTAGGGGTCTTGTGGTGATGGGAAAAAAAAGATAGAAAAGAGTTGGTGGGTGAATAATTGGCACAGAAGACGCCTCGGATACACATCCTCAAACGACGAGTAGATGGGGGAGGGCGCACGTACTGAACCGGATGAATTGCGAAAAATAAAAATAA